TATTTTCACCAAAATCAAGATCCATATCACCAACGCTAGGAACATAGGAGCTGGATGCCTTTTGATTAATATTTTCGTCAGAATTATTCTTTGAAATTAATTCATCAACCTGTTTTTGTAATTTTTGCAACTGCTTTTTTAAAGATGAATTATCTTGCAACAGTTTTTTATTAGCTTGTGCTAATTTTTTCGTTGCATTTTTGGCTGACATTGCGCTCTTAAGGGATGATTTTCTGCTTGTTTTAATACAATCCTTTATATTATTTGGATCATCCTTTTTTTGTGCTGAAACCATGTGGTAAATTACCACCAGCACTACAGAACAACCGATTTTTTATAGTATATATGAATTTTACACTTATAATGTGCAATCTACAGTGCAAATTATATCAAAGATATAATTATTCAAAAATGACAACTTTTCAATAATAGTAAATGTAATCCAAAATTACACGACTTTCTTCGGTGAGATACCGATCGCCACTCTCTTAATATTTATTCTAAAAATTGTCATGTACAACTTGCGTATACTTTAACTATGAGTGTTAAGCATTTTATTGTGTGATACTCTGAAAGCTATCAGTTAATATAAATTTCACTTACACTTTAAATTTTTTCTTATATCTATACATTTCTAATAATTCGAAAATTCTATTAGAATGAATCAAAAATACTTCCTTTTAAAAATTGGTTTTTGGTCTTCTTGCAAAAGGGATATAAACTATTTTATCTCCAGTTTCACTCTTCCCATTGGTACCCAATTTCTGATAAATATAAATTACCTGGTTATTTATTTTCCACTTAATAAAATTACTTAACAAATTAATCCAACAACTTTCTATTTTATATTGTGTTTTTTTTTAATTTATTTACTCCTGAATTCTTTTTAAGAGAATGTCATTTTCACTTGTTCCTTTTTGATATAAAGCTTCATTTTAATCAAATAATTAAATTTGTGTAACTACATTAAAAATTGATGAAAACTCATAAATTTAATTTTTACAATAAAACAACATTTTGTGTCTCGTTATAATTTCTAGAATCACACAAATTATATAACACTCGTAAATCACTCCATATACATAGTATATATACTAAAACTTTCAGAAAAATTTCCCTATTTACCCATTTGCTAAGTTTTCTTTTATAAATAAATTTTCAAGAACTCTTAATAAAAATATACACAAATTAATGACAAACATTTGCATAATACCTATAGGTATACGTCTATATAGAGAGTGCCCAACTTAACAATCAAAAAAGTTTATTTTAATATAGAGAAAAAATAAAGAAGTAAAACTCTTTTTGGACTTTATACTTTGAAAATCACTTTTATAGTTTTGCTTAACTCTGTACAATATAAATGCTTCGATATGGTTTTGCTCAATGTTGTGACGAATCCTTTTAAATATTTTAAAGTTAAAGTTTCATAAAACATAAAAGATGTTTATGCATTTACATATACATTTACAAAAGTATATGCAGTACAATTTCACTTAAATTTTTAAATAATAAAAATTCCCTATAGAACGTAAATGTCCCGTTAAAAAGTTTAAAAGATATAGAAGCTCGAACAAAACGACTCAACTAAAGTGAGAATATTGTTTTTAAAAAAAAAAATCTGACGTGGTCAGCACATAACCGACCGCATTATGTATTGTCTAGTTAAGTGAAAGTGTTACAGAATATTAAAAAAATGCCTGTTAAATACTTCTTTCCAATTTTTAGGACATTAACAAGCTTATAGTTAACATACCTAGAAAAATGTAAATTTGGCTCTTAGTAGAGTTTCGCTTTGTGCTACCCGAATTCCCTGAAATGCTCGCCAGTTAGTTTTGGTAACAACCAGAACTCAAATTTCAAATTTCAAGAAATCCCATCAATTCGTTCCGTAGATATGGTGAAAAATGTAAAATCGGCCCGCAGATCAGTTTTCGAGCCCTGATCTTTCCAAAAAATTTATATGTTCGTTGTTTTAGTACGAGGAATTTAAATATTAAGTTTCAATAAAATCGGTTGATTATTTCTCTTTATATACACAAAAATGTATATTTGGCCCGTAGTAAACGTCTAGTTCCCGATGCCTGATTTCTTCCAAAACATACGAATTTTTGCGGACGGTCGAGCTGAGCTTATATATAAAATTTCAGGTAAATCGGTTGAATATTTTCTTCAAAATGTTCAAAAATGTAAAACAGGCCCGCTAAAAAGTGCAGTTCCCGAGGCCTGATATATACCAAAAGTTGATCGATCCGTGCCATGGTGGAAACAAACTTACATATAAAATTTCATCAAAATCGGTTCAGCCGAACTTGAGATACACGCGTGCACACACAGACCGACAGACGGACAGACGGACAGACCGACAGACCGACAGACCGACAGACCGACAGGTTGCTAAAAATAGTTTATTTACACTTCCCTACCATGGAGAAGTACGTTCCCACCGAAAACTCGATATGCAAAATTTGTTGCCATCACATAACCTACCTATTGTTTACACAATACGGTCGGTAAAAAGAGTTTGAGTTATAGCATTTTATTTCAAAATAACTGTTATATACAAATATTATATTTTGAATGTAAACCATATATGGACCTGACAGTTTTCTAATGGATTTAAATTACCAGCACATAGCGTCTATCAAAATAAAAATTGTAAAACAAGTGTTTTCTTCACACGAAGAAGAAGACAAGCTGGTGCTAAGAATAGTGTTGTTAAAAAATAGAATTATTAAATATTTTTGGAATGGAAAAATATTCTACCTATACGGTGCATTCTCGAAAAGCAAGGTCCTGACTTTAAAGACATAAAAACGGGATACTCATAACGAAACCCGCTTTGAGCTTCACAATTTGAAAAGAAGAGTGAAAAATAAAAAATTCTCCTATAATATTTAGTTTGTCTGAGTGCGTTTCATTAGTCTATTTCGGTAAAATCATCGAACCCTGATTTGTCTTGTACTTGAATATATTCTTATTAAATTATCTTTAAAAATAAACACAAAATAACAAAATTAATAGAATTTGTTTAACTGTTGGCAATCAAGAATGAATTCAAAAATAAATAATCATTCTTTTAGCTAAAATGGTAAAACCTGCATCCTTCCAAAATTTTTTGTAACTTATAACCATCTATATTTGTCTTAAATTCTGTAAATATAAATTAAATTCAAGATTTACGAAGTCCCCCTTTTATATTGTTTCGAATTTTGTTCAATATTACCTTTATTTTATGTTAGATACGAGTATTATCACTTTTGTGGCAGAGAAACTAAATTAAAATTATAAAAGGAAATTAACTAATTTGAAAATTTTCTTTTAATTGGTTATAAAGAGAACTCTGATTTTAGGGGCTGATTTTGATAAAACATAAATATTATTTCCTTATCTATCTATAAAAAATTGAAATTAATTTTGCGGTATAAAATTTATTGTGTCGTCGGTACTTGTACACATAAACCTACAGCAAGTAAACAGGTACTCATTTCAATGAAATTTTTTCACTATTTCATTTATTTACAAAATAATTTATGGTTTTCTAAACAATTTCCGAATCCTATGGTTTTCGAATTGAGGAAATTTAAAAATTTTTTATTACAACAATTTCAATTTTTTTTCTTTTTCTTTACGCCGGTTATATTAAGCTCTGTGCTTTCCTTTAATTTATAAATTTGTTTCATATTAAAAAACAAGTCACTAAAACTTCAATTAGGAAGTGCAAAATAAGCATATTTCTACTGATTTCATTAAAAATTCATTCTATAAATTTTGTTTGTAAATAAGTTCGATGTTTAAAACCAGCTCCAGTTTGAATCGAATTTGACCAAGCAGCTTGAGTATTTCTAGATCTTGTTCCATAATCAAATTGAAACTTACTCGTATTTTATTATAGCACATTATGTAATGTTAAATATTATATACATAATTATATAAATGCACTCACATAGATGCAAATGTAAATAATTTTATTTGGAATGGATGTACATTGCAATTTTATTTCTTTTTGCAAAGAATAATGCTTATACCAATGTTTATTTCACAGCCACTGTTTTGGGAATTCATACATTACTTATAGATAAAATAAAAGCAAGTGATATGTAATGCATGCTTTCTTATGAAAATGAATAAGAATCATTTTACCTTTGAAATCCCAAAAGATTTTATTCTTCTTAAAATATATTGAACACTCTTCACACAAAGTGGTTATAGTAGGTGTGTAGAGAAAAGATTCACTTTTTAAAAAACATTCAAAACTTTATAAGAAACATTAATCAATTTCTTGCAAAATATTGAAACATTTAAGGATAGAAAAAATTATCACAGGTTTACAAGAAGTGCGAAGTGTGGACACATAAATTGTTTTTAAGAATGCTATTATACTAAATACGAACATAATTTTTTTACATTGAAAAAAGACAACCTTTAGAGTCCCGCTTCAATTAAATGACAAGTAAGTGTAGAAAATAAATACGTCAGCTCAATGGCTTTGTTGAAGTGGTTTAACAAATTAACTAAATTGAAAAATTAAGTTTCACAATGACATTGTACTGCTAAAGCATTTTCAAAATTCCTTATATAACTTGTCCAAAAACTAAACCTACAAATATTAAAAAATGTCTTTAATTTGTTTCTCTTAATTCTTCTGTGAATTTTTCGTAATAGAATCTTCTTTAATGAAATTGAAATTCCAAATAATTTTCAGCTACAAACACAAACATGCATTTTATAAGCGTAACGTTATATTTGACAGGATTAAGTTTAAGAGATCTTGGGTGGTTTTTAAAGGTGCTTGGGAAAAATTAACTATAAAACAAAAAACTAGAAAAATAGATTAATCTTTTACATTTTCTGCAATTATAAGCCTGCTACCCTGCATTGAATATGTGATAGTGATTCTTATATGTACATATGTGGAAATTTAATTTATATTTTCTCTGTCCCTTCATTTTGATTGAATGTTAATTCTAAATTTTAACTTTTTATTGTTTACATTACAGGTGAATCAACATCATCAGCTTATGGTCCCCGTTTATCTCTTCAACCGAAATCATCTAGAGCGTCTTTAGTTAGTGATGATAGTTCATTAGAATATCGCCGAAAATCATCAGGAAGTACGCATAGTGGACCACCTTTATTAGGCTATAATAATAATAATAGTAACTATGGTATAGATCCATATATATATTCGTCTGATGAGTATGAACGGCACGCTGATGGAACTGTTGTACTTAGGTAATATATTTTATTTTTAAAAAGCCTCTTATAACTCGTACATTTTCACAATATATGAAATTACGTTAACTATAATCCAATTAAGTGTAGAAAAATACTCTTAATTAATCTAACATATTAATTTAAGTAATACAGGGTTTCGTGGAAAAAATTTTTGCCTCATATTTAATTAGTTTTCCCGCATTATTAAACTCTTACAGAATGACTATCTGAATTTTAAGTAAAGGGTAATGAAATAGTCCTTACCTTATCTACCATTCTCAAATAGTCCAGCACTATCAAATACCCCTTACCTACAATTTTCAGTTTAGTAATAAATCGTTTAGTAGTTTTTGAATAAAACTAGAAATTTTGAGTAGTTTTCAATTTTAAAGTTTTTAATTGGTTAAACGAATTTGTGATTTACTGTTGATTCAACCAAAAACTTAACAGAAATTCAGTTTCCCCAATAAGAGTAAATGAAACAGAAAACACCTTGTAAAAGAACATTTTAATTAAAAAAGTAATAATCTGTCTGGATTCAATTAAAATTTTATATAAGCTATACAAAATATTTAAAAGTCAAAGTGTATTAAAATATGAAAATTAAATTATGTAATTACGATTAAATCAATTATAAGAATTAAATAAACTTCCACATGGCAGAAATGGTTATTGTTTATTCAATAAATTACAAAAAACAAAGGAATTAAATATTAAAAATTACAAAACAGCATTAACATTAAATTCATAATCTCCTTTCAAAAGTTAATAAAATTGTGATAAACTGATTCTATTAATATTTTAACACAAATGAGTTTAATACTCTTAATAATTTTGTGTTATACTTGAAATGCAATGATTTGCTTAAAATGTCAGAGGAAATTTTAAAAATTTTAGACCATGAAATCATAATTTGAGGGCAATATACGGTCATTTGCGTGACCCATAGTCTTCCATGGCTAAAATGCAATGCATGTGATCGTAATTTCAATCCCAAAAGTAACGGGAAATTCAATTGTGACTTACAGGTTTGAACTTAATTTTTCATTTAACTGTGCTAGGATTTAAAGAATACTAAGATTTCTTAAAAGCGGTATTGTGCCTTCATTAAGCAAAAGCATAATTTCCAAACTTACAGAAATTGTTACTCCGAAAAAGAATTTTTAAACGACAAGGAAAATCATAATGGGCTTATAACTACAGCGTAATAAAAAAATTATTTGAGACCAACACAATTTCATTTCCAATTTAAAAAAGATAAAAATGGATAATTCAAAGTTATTTGACCAAACATAAATGTTAACAAAGAAAATGTGGATTAATTTTCTCATTTATATAATGTGTATAACACTTTAGTATTGTATCATTTTTTTTCTACACATTAAATCATTTGTTTCATTTTATTTTCTTATTATTTTCATTTTATTGCATTTAATTTTTCTTTTCTAGAATACCTGCACCTCATGTGGTGGCTGCACGTGCTTATCGAATGTCTGTTGGAGGTACAAGTAGTAGTGGTAGTGGTGGATCTAACACTACTGGAACGAATAATAATAATTTTTCATCGAATACAAGCGCAACAGGTGGAATTTTTATAACACCACATCAACAGCAAATGACTGGAAATATTCTGAGCTCAACTAATACATCCAATTTAACGAATACAAATAGTAATAATACAGCGTTATACAGGTTAGCTAGATTATTAAATCAAACAAATAAAGGTGGACGACAAAGTCCTACACTAAATGATGATGCACCTAGAAGATTATCTTGGGAAAGGTAATTGAAATAGATATATAGTGTAAAATGAAGTTAAGAAAATTTTTTTTTTATTTTTCTTTGATATTTTCTATCCTTTGTTTTTCAAATATTTCCTTTCGTATCTGAATCTTACGTTCTTTCCTTTCGTATCTCAATCAACATTAGGTATGCGATTTTAAATACATTTTAATGGAACAAAATCACATTCTATTGTTTGCTGAATCTACTTGTGTGGCATTTATTTTTAAATTAAAAAAAATACTACAATATTGTACTACATACGAAACTGTAACAATGCCAATTTACAATTGGTTTCCCTTATTTGAAATTTACTAATAGGGTTAAAACGAGGTGTTGTTTTTGAAAGGATATTATAATGTTATATTGGTATACCTTCGTGGATAATCGATTAATTCAGTTTAATTTTAAAGAATCATTGGAAAATCCACTTAAATTCATTGAAAAATGGGCTTTAAATAGCTTTAAATACTATCAATATGTATATACTATCACTATGTATAGAAATATACATAGGTAGTTATTTTTTTCCAAAATTATTTTCGCAGTTGAACTTCCTATTATGTACATTAACAGTGCCTTGAACTTTTTGCAAATTTTTTTTATTCATATAATAAAGTTTTTTATTTATATAATGAACTTGGATAATTACATGAACAGCCTTATATATAACTAGCATGCATGTTAGCATGTCATTAGGCCATATTATAAAATTATTGTTTTATAAATGTTGGATATTGGTTTTTTTTTATAAAACGAGTTCATGTGTTTTATATATATGTATATATGTATGTGTATATAATAGTTTTATGTTTATGAAATTTCCTTGAAGACAACACTTTTTATTTCAGTACAATAAAATTGTTTTAGAAGAATCATTCCTTCACACAAACACAAATAATTTCAGGCATATGCAATGATTCAAATGTCTAAACACATTTTCCAAAATAATTTTTGTTGAGAAAATGTTCGCGTACGGACTTAATTTGAGTTTTCTTAAGAAAAAACGTAGAAAAAAGGAAATACGTAAAAACTAGATGGCTGAATAATCTTCAAAAGTCCGTGAAACTTTCTTTATGTAAGATCTTGGTTTTTTCTATATAAATCAGTCAATTTCATTGAAGACTTTTAATTATAATTGATACTTAAGCCGTAAAAGCCTAAACGAAAGTAAAAGCCTGATTCGATTATTTCTGAAACAGTAGTTGGGTTAGTGAATCTGACGAAATTGCTGCCTGACATACAAAACTATTTACTGTGAATTCAAATTGAATATCAATATTGGAAAACTATAACTTCCGTATTCTGATAAGTCGAATTTCCCAAAACTTATTACACCACGTTCCAAATACGATTTTACACCACGTGAAATATACGATTTTAAGAAAATTCGATTATTATAGCCTTAGTTCAGTGGTGAAAAACTTAAATTAAGCTTATAATAATCAATTGCTGCTCCTTTTAGAAAAATCAATTTTTCTTAAAAGGTCTACTCGTTACTGAAATGCGAACTTTCATATAAATCGGTTCAGTAAAAATTGTCAGAAGAGGATTGCACAGAGGGTAGGCCCGCAAAAAGATGTAATGTCAAAAATATTTTTAAAATTACTAACTCGATTTGCGATCAGAGCTCTTCCCTTCGCCGCCGATAAAAAAATCATACTCATTTTAATTCTCAATAATTTTTTTGTTTACTTCAACCACATTTCAATTTGAATGTCACAGACATGTCAAGAATAACTTTTGATAGGTTATGTCAAAAAAAAATTTATTTTCATATCTTTGTTTTTTTTATTTATTTTTTTATTGATTTTAGTAAACACTTTAACAAACACTTTAAGTCGCTTACAATTTTTAGGTAAAAGTACAAATACTAACGGTAAATACATTCGTATTGATATACTTACAAATACATTCGAGTGTTTTATACATATGTATTGTAGATGTTTGGAGGCACTTGAAAATCAAATCACTTACATTTTTACCACAATATCCTTAAAATTTAATATACAATAAAATGATTTTCTCTTGTTATGTTTTACTTTTTAACACAAAATATGTTAACAGAATTTTTAACAGAAAAAAATGTGGTAATCTTGATTTAAGTGTATATTTGTGTCATCGCAAATTTGCTTTTGATTTATTGATTTATAATTAGGAACAAATGTTACATGAATATTTTCCAGTTTAAAATTTGGAAATGTTATAAACTTTGAAAGTTCTTAATATTTAAACAGATGGAATTTTTTGTTCCTTATTCGCATCTTTACCAACCACATTGTATACAATAAGGATAGATATGTGATGACGTCGAATTTCGCAGTCGGCGGAAACGTTCCATGTGACGGAATAATAGCCAGAATTTAAATAGAAAAGAATTTAACTAGATAAAATAATTTTTGACGAGGTGTCGGTCTGCCTATTTTTGTGCGCACACATGTGTTTGTTTACTTTGTTTGTTTTCATGGAATGACCAACTTTGGACACCTGCCTGGTTTAGAAAACTGGAAATTTACTGCAGATCAATTCTGCACTCTTAAAACGTCCTTAAAATTTGAGAGAAGTCTTTAACGGACACCTTCATAATCTTGTGCAGTACGTTCACCCAGCAAAAAAAAACACTTTGCGGTCGGTTATATACTGACCATACAAATACTGACCATATAAAATTTAACTAAGTATTATCATAAAGCTTAACTGCATTGAGTCTACTAAAAAACAACATTCGAATTTTTGTATCAACTTGAAAAAAAAATTATTGTAATGTTGACTACTCAATTTGATTCTACGTAAGGTAGGTGGTTTAAAGTTAATTTTTGTTTTGAGCAGTGTTCGAAAATTTATTTTATCTTTTTGTTCTTCCAATATTTTATTTATATTTAATATTAAAAATTTTCCTTGTGAAAACAAAAAAATAAAATCCTTGTAAAAGATTCAAATAAAAAGCTAATACATAATACAGCACAGGAGGTTGAAAAAATTTTGTTTTGGAAATTCATTTATTATTAATAAATTTTTATGCAAAAATATAAAGGATCAGCATTCAGGAAAATGCAAATTATAAAATGAATTCAACATTATTAATGATTCAAGAAATGTCTACATTTTTACAAATTTTCTTTATAAATTTAGAGCACAACTTTTTCATTTTAAAAGAGCGCCAGTAGGTGAGCGTCTAAATGTTTAATCAAAAAGATTAAATTAAAATTTCATATGTTATTTTCAATATGAGTAAAGTAAGATTGCTGGTTATAATTTCCAAAATATTTTGATCATCGTAATAGATACAATCAAATCCTTGTAAAAGAGACAATCCCCTTAATGCATGTCCCTAAACCCTGCTCTTATCTATTAGTAAATAATAAATATTGATCATCTATTAAGTTTTATTAAAATTTTAAATAAGTTTTGTGAAGAATTTTAATTTTTAAGGAAAATTTTGTGTCTTGTCTCCACGAAAAATGAATCCAGTTACCTTGACCTTACTTATACATTAAGGTTCAAGTTTGAGTTATTTTCAAAATTTAAGATGAAATGTAATTTATTTGGTATTGTTTTTCATTACAGCTACCTTACCAGTTTCTAAAAATGTTTAAGTCTATGCTAAATTTTATAATTTAATTTATGTTCCTCATTTTATAGGAAGGATTATGGCAGTAAACTACCTCGATCAGCAAGTATTGATTCGATGGTTGATACTGTATGGAATGATTCACCACGACCATCACTTAATGTTCCTAGAAATAGTACAACAAGCACAACAAGTGTACCAATTTTTCAAATGAGTTCAGTTACATCAGCAGCCGCAGCCAATAATACAACACAAAATCAAAATTCAAATTTAGGATTTCATGTACCACAACAGCCTTCACAATTAAACATTAACACATATTCAAGTTTCGGAAGCTTTAGTGTTAGTGGTTCTTTTGTTAGCCGTAGAGAGAGTTTATTGAGCCCATCATCGAATCGAAGGACTAAGCAAAATAGAGGAATTGCAGGTTAGTATTTGTTTTATTTTTTATTCATATTTATACACATGACTCAGAATGTAATCTAAATGGACGATGTACAAACGGACGATATCATATAATAAAGCTAAATTTCATGCTCCAATTAATCACTAGTAAAATTTCTATTTCTTTTGTAAGGAATAATTTCATTTAAGAACTTTTCAAATTTTACAATGACTTCTCTAGCACATTACAACAAAATTTTCATCATAATAAATTTTTCAGATTTTTAAGCATTTAATTAAAAAATTTTTTAATTAATAATTTCTACGAACAATAAATGTAATTTATAGGATTAGTTTTGTCATTTTCATTTAATTACTGGAAATTTTCTGTTTCCAAGACAAATATGTAATTTCCAAAGAATTATACAAATTTCCTAAATTTCCTACATACTTATGTAAACTTTTCTCCAAATTGTTAGTACTTATACAATTTATATGTATAAATCTAATCAATTAAGTGAATGTCCTTTCCATAATATGTAAATAAAACCACAATTCACAAAATTCTTTCTGTAACAAGCTGTCAAGGATTTATGTTTCATTATCAAGCAATAATTTAAAAGAACGCATGTAATATGTATATAAAGGCATGTGTTCTATATAATTAGCTACTGATATGTGTATATATACGTATATAGAGTAATCAACTCATTTTAGTCATAAAATATGCAATAAAGCAAGAAATTAAAATCTCAAAAGTCATTGGCAAAAAGTAAAGAAAAACTAAATTGAAAATAGGATAACATTCCTTCTTTATAGCACTAGGATAATAATTTAGAGTTAAATTTATGTTACAATATTACAACAGGGTGTCTGAAATTACCCTTCTGAATTTTTTTTACCAAATTTCTTAAAATGAAGCTACACAAAATATTTTAATATTAAAATTTCCAGTTTACATAAGCGTAAATTAGACGACACATTCACGAGGATCAGCGGAGATCTACCGAAATAACGAACTTAATCAGAACTTTTTATTCGACTCTCTAGCATTTCAAACAATTCAATTGTTAAAGCCCCAACTAAGTTAAAATCATTATATTTGAAAGAGTTAACAAATATCCAAGTAAAATCAAGTTCAAAACATGAAAAGGCATATCTAATGTTAAAAGCTAACATTTAGAATGAATTTCTTTTTCATATCCTTTTACCAATAAACTATCTTTCAAAAGTCACCCTATATATTAAGTGTAGATAAATATATTGATAAGGAATATTTTTTTTTCCCATATGATCCCAATACATGATCCTGACAGAAAAAGGATACTATATGTATTTCTAACCCATACATATACATAGCTATTAAACCTTCTTTGTAATTTATTATAATCGTTTATTGAAAATGACCTTTCATTAATATAACTACGAGCAGTTCCCTTGGCCTATTCATGTGCATCAGTCGTAAAAGATCAATATTAAAAGCAATTTTCTCGTTGTTAGAAAGAAAAATCTTTTATTTTTTTTTATTTGCCTTGCAAAAAAAAAACCAAGAAGAACGAGCAAAAAAAAGGATTTTTAATGTTATACTTCACATAAGGATGCCTATACCAAATGAGTGTCATGTTTTTACTAATTAACCAAGAAATTTGTTATTTTTCTAATATTTATTTTATGTAAAAGTCTCGTAAATGTGTTCAAGCTAGAATACCTACACATTTTCAAATTCATATTGCACACATATTTGTACAACGTGGGTTATCTAAATTTAAGAAAATTAATGTCTGCTGCATATATAAAATTTTTGAATCTTTACTTAAATATTTTTCAACCTACCAAATTGAAGCTGTAATTCCTTTCTAAATTGATGGTATAAATCTTATTAATTTTAATATATAATATTTTTGTATTAATTAATTATTTTCAAATATTCTCATATATTTTCCTTGATTCTCAATTTTAATTTCCACTGTCCGTAATTTCACATTTAATTTGAATTCGCAATTCTCAATCCAGTTGCGCGTTAGTTCACTAAATTACGAAGTATTTTTCTAATTTCTGATTTATCATTAAGATAGGAGTAGGTGTCCAATTAAAATCTAATTTTATGACAACTTCAGTGAAAATTTTGAATTAAAATTATATTAAAATCGAAATTATAGTAAGAATTTTAATTCAAAGATGAAATTAAAATTAATTATAATTTGATAAACAGAGTTTGAGCTTTGAATTTTTACTTTATTCATATATTTAATACTCTTTAGGAGTACTATGGAAGTGGTAACTGCAAAATTTAACAAAAAAACGAGAAAAAAAGTAGAGTTGACCTTGTCAACTCTGTGATACCCGTACGAATTTGTTATCCTATGTGCGAATAACTAATGTGCCATAACTAACTATGTGGCAGACTATGACTTTAAGTTGCCGTATTACCATATTAATTTATGCAAAATTTCAGTACTATGTGTTTTTCAAAATACTGGTTGTGCCAAACTACTATTGATGTTGTATGGCAGGTACCAGAAGGAGCCAAGTAATTTCAACGACTTTTATCAAACAGATTAGCCCTACTAATATATTCGTTTGTGTGAAATTTCAATACCATAGCTTTGATAGTTTCTGAAATATAGTCAAATAACTTTTGAAGTTGTATGGCAGGTACCAGAAGGACCCAAGTAATTTCAACGACTTTTATCAGACAGATTGGCCCTACTAATATATTCGTGTGTGTGAAATTTCAATACCATAGCTTTAATAGTTTCTGAGATATAGCCAAATAAATTTTGAAGTTGTATGGCAGCTACCCGAACTGGTACCCCGATCACGTCCAATTTAAATAGGGTTCTGGCACTTGCTACAATAAATCATTTGTGAAAATTTGGTGAACTTAGCTCAATTAGTTTTTGAGTTATCGTTCGGACGGACGGACGGACAGACAAAGCTAAATCAACTCAGAATTTGACGCTGATCAAAAACATACACTTGAGTCTATATCTAACACCTTTATTTCTTAGCGTTACAAACGGTAAGGCAAATTTAGTATACCCTTCGAACATACGTTCATACGGGTATAATTAATAATAATCTGACAGCAGCTCCGGTTGTTATCGAACGGCACTATACAGATTAAAGATTGAATTGTTAGTGAAATTAATACAAGTTTTTACTTTAACTGTGTTTTTTGAATGTCAAACAATGGAATAATAAATTCATTATACCTCCGCATATTGAGTAATTAGCTAGCAAAAGCAAAAAACTTTTGATCCTTGTAGCGTAACTATAAATGACTAATAATTTGCTCTTATACACTCTTTGAAAAAAAAAACTTTTTAACTATAATTTTAATCTTATCACTTTTAAATTTTGAAAGATTAAAAATAGAACAAATTAAGGTATTTTTCGAAAATTCTATAGAGAGGAAATTGTAATAAGAGAAAAAGAAAAGATAATCCTTATAAGTCCTTGGAAGTTCAGGCATTGATTTATTTTCAACATTAAGTTTATAAAATTTTTAAAGTCTATAATATAATTTATGGTGTAATTTTCAAAAGTGTAAGGAGTTAAAAAAGTTATTTGAAAAAAAAAGAAACTTTTATCGCTTATCTATTTGAAATTTTTCAAGAATTTCCTTTTTATCTATTTTATTTGAAAAGCACCATTTTCATTTAATTATAAATGAGAAAAAATATTGAACAAAAATATTTTTTTATTTTCTTAATTTAATTGATTTTTAATAAATTTCATTTTGAACACAATTAAGATCAATATAGTGAAAAAAGGGCTACTATATTCGAAGTACATAAATTTTATTCAGTGCTGTTGTAAATTTTTCAATGATTTCCTTTACTATAATTGATAGTAGAAACTTTGAGATACCCGTACTAAATTTCAATGCGTGGATGGTCGTGGTCTTGCAGATATAAAATTTAGACTTCAAAAAACCACAAAGAAAAATATCCAACGGTGTTAAATCGCATGATCTGGCCGCCCAGTTCTGATCACCAAAACGAGGAAATGACTGCAGTAATTGTTTTTCGAACTGTATGGCATGTGGCACCGTCTTGTTCAAAGCACATGTCGTCCACATCCATATCTTGCAATTTTGGCGCAAAAAAATAGAATTATCTTGTCGCGATAGCGAGCACAATTAATCGTTATTGTCTGACCAGCTGCATTTTCGAAAAAGAATAGACCGATGATGCCTTCATGCCTGAAATCCTGAATCCCAAATGCGACAATTTTGTCGATGAACAAAGCCATTAAGGTGAAAATAATTTTGCTTTTCTCGTTATGCTGAAACTTTCACTATTTACAAAATATTGTTCAACAATAAAAATGCGTTGTTCTTTTGTGTAGCGCTCCATTTTTAATAATCCTGAACTACCAGCTGTCACTCTGTATTTTTTTTTTGTTGGCAACACAAATGGCGCAAAATTCAAATCTTGCGTGAATTTTGGGACACCTTTAATAATGTGGGTTGAAAAAAAATTTGCTCATGTGTAGTTTTAAAACAAGGTTTGATGTCAAACATTGTAAATTTATTATAAAGCCATACGTATACGGTTGTCTAATATAATCGAAACTCTTATAACCAGCAATTAGTTTTAAATGTGCTTTACATAAATCAAAACACCTAAGCCTAACATAAAAATATAACTGGATTAATTCCATACTAATATGACTAGACTTCAGTTCCTTTCCGTTATAATAGATTTATAACTCACATGAACATTAAATAAAAAATATTAAAGCAATTGTTTTTTTTGTTTAACTGGTCCGTGAATACTAATAATAATTAAAAATTCCAAAATTATGAAAAGAAAATTGAATTTTCTTAGAAAATATAAAAGTTTCCATGAAAACTCTTAACTATCATAAATATTCACTTTAGTTTTAGAATTTTCTTATACTTTGTGGAATACAAAATTTTTATTCATCTTCTTTTAGTACTCTAAAATGAAAAACTTTTTAACACTTCTTCGCTTAGTTAAGATATTAAAATAAGTAAAAAATAATTTTTCCCTCAAGTTTTATCAATTTTCTTAA